ACTGTATAGGATATACTTGCCCACAATGTCGATGGCTTCCTCTACTGCTCTTACATATTTTAGGCAGAATCTCTCAACTGAACCTGGAGCTTGTTTCAGCTAGACTATCTGGCCAGAGAGACCCCAGGATCCACCTGCCTCTGCTCTCCACAGCACTGGGGTTACAGATGTGTGCTGCCATGCCTGACCTTCATCTGGGTGCTGGGGATCCGAACGTGGGTCCTCACACTTGAGTAGCAAGCACTCTCTCACTGAGCTGTCTCTTTAGTCCCCAAAGTCAGTTGATTTATCTCCATTTCTACTTATGTGGGAGTTTGCATTTTTATCTGCCCTTAAACAAAGGCAGCAGAGTTCAAACACCCAAACAGGTGGCGAACGGCTCAGCAGTGCAAGCGCCTTCTGGGCAAGCCTCACGACATGAGCTCGTTGGTGGAAGAAGAAAACTGACTCCCAAATGCTGCCCTTTAACCTCTACACACACACCACGGGCAAGCACCCCGGCCCCCCCCCCGATAATAAGAAAAAAATTAAATCATACACAAGGGCATAAAATAGGAAGAGGAAGTCCCTCTTCCTCCAGGTCCTTAGCCAGTTTGGGGTTTGTTCAAACTTGCAGACATTTGCCATGTCACTCAAGCGCTGGTGTGTGGAAATTTATATCAGAGATATCGTGTAGCAGGGTGGCACAGCATCCTCAGACGCTTTCTCCCTTGTTCTTTTCACTATTGGCAGATGCTCCCTCCCTCCCTCCCTTCCTCCCACTGCCTGTGTGTGTGTGTGTATGTGTGTGTGTGTGTGTCTACCTTCCCTTGTTTGTATCTTTGTCAGCTTCTGCTAAGACTTCAGAAAATGCTCATATCACAGGAATCTGTGCATCCGATTTTTATCAGGTGTGTGGAATTGGAGTGTGGCTCAGGAGTGTCTGCCTGGTATGTGCAGTAGGTCAATCCTAGCATCCAAGGCAGTGGGTGTGGGCAGGGATGGGGCTCACCAGGTATGCAAGTCAGCATGTGAGAAACCCTGTCTCCAAAAATAAATACAGAAACCGCTATTGCTAGGCTTCGTCAAATTTCCCTTCAGAAAACACATGTACGCACTCCCACTAAAGGTGGCAAGAGTCACCATTCACACACATGCTTCCAATACCTATATTTCACTAGACCTTCCAGTCTCTGCCAGCGCAAAAGATCAAAGCCAGCCTCATTCTAGTGTAAGACATCGAGTGACATCATTCTATGTATTTGCTGTTCATTTCCACGTCTCTCTCTAGGAACTGTTGGTTGGATCCTGTGCACTCTTGGCTGTGGGCAGGGTCACTGCAGTCTGTTTCGTTCAGATTGGTCCACCAGGAGCTGTGACGGAGCTAAGATGTGGAGTCCTGGAGGAGAGGAGGGCTGGGCACTTGCTTTTTAAATATCCTTTGTTGGTGTTTGATCAAAAAAATATATCATGGACATTACTACTTTAAATTCAAAGGAAGCTGGTTCGTTTTCAAATATTAGGACAGAAAATAAAACTCATGATAAAGGAATGGAAGAACAGAGAATAAACGGCGTAAAACTCACTGGAGCATGTGTTATAAAGTCAGGTCTGTAAGTGACAATGTTGTTTAAATTCACTTCCACTTTCAGCTAGGAAGGGGAGCTATCGAAGATGCACTGAGGCTGGGTGCCGGGCTTAAATACAGAGCTAGTTCACATTTGTGTTCACACGAAATTGGAGGAGGGGTAGGAAGAAGGGGTGGAGAGGAGGAGGAAGGACCCAATGAGGAGGAGGAAGGACCCAAAGAGGAGGAGGAAGGACCCAAAGAGGAGGAGGAAGGACTCAATGAGGAGGAGGAAGGACCCAAAGAGGAGGAGGAAGGACCCAAAGAGGAGGAGGAAGGACTCAATGAGGAGGAGGAAGGACTCAATGAGGAGGAGGAAGGACTCAATGAGGAGGAGGAAGGACCCAATGAGGAGGAGGAAGGACCCAATGAGGAGGAGGAAGGACTCAATGAGGGAAGGTAGTCAGGGTTAGGAAAGGAGGCGGTGGCCTCAGGGTGGGTGAGAACACAGCTTTCCTCCATCCTGCTGTGATCCCCAGCAGGGCATCTGTAGGGGTGGCTGTCTGTGCTTCACCCCTGAAGCACCAGGTAGGCAGCAGGTAATTGCTAGGTACCTGCCCCTGCCCAGGGTGTGGCGGAGATGGAGACCCCTTAAGACCTGAGATGTGTATATGCTCGTTCTCTTGGCTACCTCGTGATCCTGGATGCTGGCCCACAGACCAAGTCAGAGTTCTCCAGAGAATTGAGTTGGACTGCACCTCACCGCTCCTGGATCCCTTAATGGACCCCTTTGCTTGCTGTAAGTTTACCCAAAATAAACCTCTTTTGACTATCAGATAAACTACATGGAATTGCCTCATTAATTTCCACTGTAGGCATCCAAGGGAAGCTCTTGGTGTCCAACACAGAAGTACAGAGATGAGCCCTTGTGGTTCCCCAGCTTCATCCCAGGCAAGTCTGGCCTCAAACTCAAGTTCCTCCTCGGGAGGGCTGGAACAGCAGGTGTGTACGTCCACACTCAGGGAGAAGACTTAAACGTGTGTCTCTTGTTTCCTGAGGACTTTGGAAGTCTAGCTGGGAGTTCAACAGCTGTGGGTACAGCAGGTGGGGGCAAGCTGGAGGTCAGAGGCCAGAGGTGGCCCATGCGCCCCCTACGCCCCGACCCTTGTCCCTTCAGCCCCTCCTGCCCTCACCACCAGCCTCTCCCCTCTGCAGCCTCAGCCCATTCCTCTCCCTTCAGGCTCAGGGAGCCAAGAGCCTCCCTCAGGCAAGCAGCCGCCACTTTTGTGCCCCCTTTGAGCACCGCACATGCTTCTTGAGTGTGTGAGCAAAGAGTCAACGGGTAAATGGACAAGTGGCTTCTGATGCACCAGTGACCACAAGGGACAAAATCGAATGTCTGATACAAATCTGCCAACTCCTGTGTCACTCAGAGGATTGACGTCACCCAGTCCCAAGCATCCCTGCAGCTGTTGGATCCACATCACCACTTGGAGAAGCCTTGTTGGCCTGCCCAGGCTTGCCTGACAGCCTGCTCTGCCCCACAACGTCCTCTGGCCACGAGAAGGACAACACTGTCGCTTTCTACCCAGAGTCGCCAATAGCCCAGGCTGGCTTCAAACACACTATGCGGCTGAGGCAGAACTCAAACAATGGATCCTTCTGCCTCTACCTTCCAAGGGCAAGTATGTATCACTATACCTGTCCACTTCAGAGCCAGAAACTGACTCTGTCCTTTACTGACTCCATCTAAAGAGGAGGTTTTTTTGAACTAAGAGATGCCGATCCGCGTGGCCAGTCACATGTCCACAGTGACAGACACGCAGAGAGGTGGGCACCTAGGATCCTTGTCGAAGTTGGAGCAGACAAGGAGAGGCAGGGCACTGAGACAGGAGCACCTCACCACTCCACAGAGCCACCACTGAGCAGCCGAGAAGGACACGGAGCCATCCACGGAGGTGAGGATGGCAGCTGGCGGCCTGGGGTGGAGGCAGGACCAGGAAGCCCATGTTGGTGTCTGAAGCCGAAATGTGTATGACAGGGGTGGTCTGTCTCCTGTCTCCTGTCACTGATGACACTCAACAGTGCTGACAGGGATGGGGAGCCTGTGATGGATGGGCTATGGAGCACCCGCCCTTCTAGGCTCAGCTTCCAGAGGCCCCAACACCTCTGCCTGGAGCCTAGAGGCTAACTGAATAGCTTGTTTGGCCCACCGTGTCCTAGAACCAGGTTCTAGCCAAGCCAGGATGGATGGACAAAGGGAACCTGACACCAGCATGATGGGGTTTGTGAGGACGGGAATGACCCAACAGGGCAGGCCAAAAGAGAAGATGAGGCGGTCACTCTGATTTCTCACTTTCCAAGCCTGTCTGAATCCCTGGGTCTTTCCCTACGCTTCCCAGGGCCCTTTGCAGCATAGGATCTCACAGGCTTAGCAGGAAGGTTAGAGAAACCCGCGCGTGCTCACCTGAACCCAGTAGCAGAAAGAGCAGGAGGCCGAGGCTCCTGGCTGGTGCCATCAGTAGTCAGCAGAGTCCGGTGGCTGTGTGGCCTCCTGGTCTCAAGCTCTGTCCAACTGGCCTTCCGTCTGGCTGACGCGCGGCCACTGTTTCCTGTGGCCTCTTTCTTGTTCTTCCTGCCCAATGAATGGCGCCATCAGTGGGTTGTGAAAGGTGGATGTGGGGAACTGGGCGGCGCTCTGTGACTCACATGTCCCTGAGACCACTTACAGATGGAACTGGGCTGAACTCCAGTCACCCTGCCGGTAGGCAGAATGGAGGTGAAGCCCAGCAGCCACAGGGGTCTCTGGCCAGAGAAGCCCTCAGGTTGAGAGTCAGGCATACCTTCCCCATTTCCCTAGCAAGGCTATCTGAAGCTCATTCCTGCCTCTGCATGTGTGTACGTGTGTGCGTGTGTGTATATGATTCCCCTTCTTCCTGCCTGGACCAGCAGTGACGAGCTCGCGGAGGGTGACTGTAACTTCACAGAACTGATAACCGTCGTCTACTAGAGCTGGTTAACTGGTTATATATGCACCTCCTCCACATAGCAGCTCCACACATCCCATGCCCGTGAGAGAGGCCAAGCCGCAGACAGCTCGTGTAGGGTCATGCACAAGCTGATTGCCAGTGTGTGGATTTGATGAGACCTGTAACCAGCCAAGCACACCCATGAGGCCAAAGACACGGAAGGCATGTGAACAAGGCCAGATGCAAACCTAACCTTCTGGGCCCCAAAAAGAGAGGAGAGTTGGCAGGAAAACAGAATACACTGCTGGGCTAGCATCAGGAACGGGCGTGCGGGCCCTTGTGGAGGTAGCCAGGGTCTGGGGGAGGTGATCAGCCTGGCATATCTGTTGTGGCCACTGCCTGGCCTGGTGACCCTGCCCGAGCTGTCTGCTGCTTGGCCCCCTCACAGGCATGGGAAAGACTCGTGACATGAGATGTGTGGAGTTGCTATGTGGAGGAGGTAACCAGCCCCAGCATGTGATGGTAATCAGTGCCAGACAGTTACACACACACACACACACACACACACACACACACACACACACACACACACACAAACACATTCACAACATACACATGCTTAGGGGAGAGGTGGACCCTACCACTCTGCTGACCCCAAGGAGGTCATGGATAAGGCCCGGCCCTTGGTGTCACAGCCACTCAGATGGACAGAAGACCTTCTTCACTAGCCCCCTCTCAGATCCAAGCTAGCTCTGCTCCACACTGGGGTCTTTCTGGGGAGCTGTCCTCTGACTCCCCTTCCTTCCACATGGCCCCCCTGGTAGGCCCTTTGGACCTGAGGGGGTGTGAGAAGGGATGATGGGTCACACTCTTGTTCTGTAGAAGGTGACTGGGGAATATAGCCTGGATTCCCAGGTCAGAATCCAGAAGTTCCTGTGTCCCCGAGCTTCCTCTGACGGGAAGATGAGCGCCACTGGGCCCGCCCCTCCTCCACCCAGCCTCCCCTGGCTGCTTCTCCTAGCTCCGGGCAAGGGCGAGGATGTGTGAGGTGGTGGGTCCTGACATGCCGGGTCCCTGAAAAAGGCCTGGGGATCTGCAGACAGAGGCATGGTGTCCAGTGTTCCTGGAAGGCCAGACAAGGGCAGCTAGGGAGGTGGAGGAGCCAGGCTCTTCAGAGCTTCTAGAAAGACCCCATGAGACCAGGCACTGGCCTGGGGCCCCCCACATTTCAGGGCTAACAGAACTATAACAATCTCTTCTACCACCTCCACCCCAGCTTATCCCAATGTCTCCCGATCAGCAAGGCCTCAAGCCCTCTGCCAGGCCAGTCAGCATCCCCTGGCTACCCTGGTTGTATCACAACCCAGAAAGGTGTCTTTTAGAGGCTCCTTTGCTTGTCTTAGTGGGAAAGTGTGTTGTCTACAGACCCTCAGCCTAGAAAGAGCCACCAGGACCAAAGGAGCCCCTTAAAGCCATTAGGGATCCCATCCCCTCATCTGAGCCAGCCTTGAAACCAGAAAGAAGTTCAGGGAAGAGGAAACGTGGGGCAATGCTTTCTGCCTGTGAGAGGGGGCAGTGTGTCAGTCAATGGGGTTCAAAGAGACCCTCTCACAGGGACCTCGAGGCCTACAAGCACTAGGATCCTGCTGGGTGGCCAGCAGGATACTGTTCAGGCAGAGGGGCTTGGGAAGAGTTAGTTCTTTCCTCATGAATAGGGATATAAGAACTCCAAAGTAAGCCAGGCATGGTGGCAAACGCCTTTAATCCCAACACTCTAGAGGCAGAGGCAGGCGGATCTCTGTGAGTTCGAGAGCAGCCTGGTCTACAGAGTGAGTTCCGGACAGCCAGAGCTACATAGAGAGACCTGTCTCAAAAAAACAAACAAACACACACACACACACACACACACACACACACACACACACACACACACACACCAAATAAACCCAAAGTAGAATCAGGAGCCACTAAAGTTGTGGAGGAAGATCGGAGAGATACACGGCACCAGGAGCTCCCACATGCCAAGATCCCTGCAGGTCCCCCAATCTGCCACATTCATGCCATGGTGTGGGAATCACCAGTGTACCTAGAACAGCCAAGACAGCTTCCCACTCACCTTGTCCGGTCACAGAGTACCGGGACTAGTTTACTTCCCAGCTTCTCCTGGAGCATCGGATGGTGGGGGTGGGGTGTGCGTGTGGACCTGGGCTGATCCCAGACTTCAAATACGGAGGAATTACCTTTCCCCCTCCCTCCCACCACCCCTCCCTCCTTTGCTTGACTGTCTCACTATACAGCCCAGGCTGGTCTTGAACTCTCAACCCTTCTGCCTCAGCATCTCAAGTGCTGGGATTGCAGGAGCACCACACCCTGCGTTTTATACCTCTTTATACTTGAACACAGACGGGGACACTCACACATGTCTAATGCGTGTTGCATAACGGGGAGGGGAGATTTGAGGCGCAGGCTAGAAGCGGGGTTGGGAGAAAAACGGAATCATTTCATTTTAGCAGCCCACCTGCTCCAGACTGGTGGCCAAACTGGTCCGTGTATCACATGACCAGTCAGAGTCTGAACTCGGCTCTCAAGAGTGACCTCTTTGGCTGGGGGCCGTTTCACAGGTCCAAAATTGTAAGATCAATGGATTTTATGTTCCAGTCTGCACCCCATGAAAGGCCAATGATGTGGCTACCTAGGTCCTCCTCCACATCAGCGATGTCCAGCTACAGCCGATAGTCATGATCCCCAGTGTACTGTGGGCACGCCTCTGCCCAGCACCACCCCAAACAGCCGCCAGCAGCCCATTTCTCTGTTTTCCTGACTGAGAAAGTGTCCCCAGGTGCCTTCTTTCCCACACTGCCCTCTTCTTTCCTGATTGGCCCCAAGACATCTGACTCAGCAATGTTAAAAATAGAAGAAGCACACACACACACAAAAAAAAAAGACAGAAACTCTCCAGACTGTTGCTTTGCCATGGCAGCAGATAACAGCTGATTTTTATTTTTCTTCTCGACAATCTCCTACAATTTCCAAACTCTCTACAAAGAGCTTTAATATCAAAAGACAAATGAATTGGTATTTAAAAAGAGCATCCTTCCCAACTTGAAGGCTGAGGTCAAGATGAAATACTACCTCCTGCAGGAAGTCCTCCTGGATTCCCAGTCACGAGCGGTGGTTCTCCAGCCCTATAACTAAAGCTCCAGGACATTGTGGAAGCTTTCAAGGGCTACTGCCAGGTCTGGTTATCTACGTTTTTTACCACCCAGCACAAGACCAATGTGTGTTAGTAGGTCAGAATTCACAATAGGCAGTGAGTGTCCTCAGATTCATCTGCTGTGACTGGAAGATTTCCCCTCAGGAGACCATCAACCTCCGCCAATGTCACCAGAGAGAGCTGTCTTGGTGTTTAGAATGTTGGGTTGAAAAAAGCCCCATTTCCCACAGTTCTTGCCAGAGGGAGGTGTCAGCAGAGGCGGAAACTCCTCTGCGGTGTGAGCAAAGGGGAGGCAGCTTGGAGAGAGGCTCAGAGGCTTGGCCTGGTCCAGCCCAGGAACCTGCCCTGAGCCAGAGGTGGCAAAAGGCCAAGGCCCACAGCAGATAGACGTTTATAGCAGCTCCTGGGAACTGCTATCCCCAAAATCACAGCATTGGCCTGGGACCCCAAGCTGCAGGTGGGGGCTAGGGGACCACAGAGGAGGAGGGGGGTGGGGAAGGAAGAGGAGGGCTGGCAGGCAGGTGGGGGAGGTGCTTACCTCCTGAGCGGTTCTGGCTCCAAAGCTTCTCCCAGCCCCATCCACCCTCAGGGCCACCCTCGGGATCAAAAGTCAGAGGCAGGCAGAGGGCTGCGTGGCGACCACAGGGACAGAGCGGCAAGAGCCAAGGCAGCTGTGTCTCAGGCAGGGGCGACCGTTAGGATGAGTCATCCTCCAAGATCTAACCTGACCCTAGCTTGGGCCCGCAAGTCTCAACGCCCAGCAGCAACAGCTGGGCCCAGAGGTGACCAGTAAGGCAACGAACGCCTCAGCCTCAGCCTGATACAGCTGTGAGGACAGTCCCACAGCGAGCATGGCAGTGTGCGTCGGGGACCAGATCTGGGAGCGGAGAGCTCCCCAAGGCCAGCTAGGTGTCTATCTATCAGAGCAACCGCCCTGTCCTTCCAAGGACCAGTACGCCACTAACCAGCAAAGGCTGGCACAGCACTGAGCCACAGACAATGTGAGCAGAGGCCATGCATGTGTCCTCCCACGGGGAGGTGGGGCGGTGGCCTAGATGCGGCTGGAAGAGGTGCTGCCGGAGCTGATGGGGAGCTTGACGCTGTCCGAGTTGCTCTTCAGAGGGGAGGGACCACCTCGGGCCTGGAACCGCATGGACCAGTACCACAGGAAGATGAGGAAGCCTGTGGGCAGCAAGGCACACGCACCATCAGTGGCCAGACCCCAACTGGCCCTTGGTCCCCTCTCAGAGTCCCTCTGTGCCAAGGGTCCAGCCACACACTCATGGCCCTGGAGCCACTCGGGATGAATCAATACACTGAGACATATCAGCGGTTCAGCACTGGCCTTACTCAGAAGTGCTG